GGTCAGTGCAGAAGGAGGGGGAGGAGGTGCTCCAGGCGCCAGAGCGGAGATTCCCCTGCAGCCCATGGCGAAGACCACGGTGAGGCAGGCTGTCCCCCTGCAGTCCAGGGAGGTCCACGGGGGAGCAGATCTCCACCTGCAGCCCGTGGAGGACCCCACGCCGGAGCAGGTGGATTCCCGAAGGAGGCTGTGACCCCGTGGGAAGCCTGCGCTGGAGCAGGATCCTGGCAGGACCTGTGGATAGAGGAGCCCACGCTGGAGCAGGTTTTCTGGCAGGACTTGTGATCCTGTGGGGGACCCACGCTGGAGCAGGCTGTGCCTGAAGGACTGCAGCCCAGGGAAGAGACCCACGCTGGAGCAGTTCGTGAAGAACTGCAGCCTGTGGGAAGGACCCATGTTGGAGAAGTTTGTGCAGGACTGTCTCCTGTGGGAGGGACCCCACGGTGGAGCAGGGGACGAGTGAGGAGTCCTGCCCCTGAGGAGGAAGGAGCAGCAGAGACAACGTGTGATGAGCTGACCCCAACCCCCATTCCCTATCCCCCCGCGCTGCTGGGGAGGCTAGGTAGAGAATCTGGGAGTGAAGTTGTGCCTGGGAAGAAGGGAGAGGTGTGGGGAAGATGTTTTGAGATTTGGTTTTATTTCTCATTACCCTACTCTAGTTGATTGGCAATAAATTAAGTTAATTTTACCCAGGTTGGGTCTGTTTTGCCTGTGACCATAAGTGGTGAGTGATCCCTCCCTGTCCTTGTCTCAACAGATGAGCCTTTTGTTATATTTTCTCTCCCCTGTCCAGCTGTGGAGTGGGAGTGATCGAGTGGCTTTGGTGGGCACCTGGTGTCCAGCCAGGGTCAACCCACTGCACCCACAGTTCCCAGTGTGTGCACACAGACACAGACATACGCAGCCCCCCCCCCCCCCCCCCCCGAGTCACCCCAAACCGTGATCTGACACCAAGCATGACTCATTTACTTCAAAAGGCTTCCTGGGACACCTGTGATTTTAATAACCTGATTAGAAGAACTTAAGTCTTATTTGTGCTCGGAAACGTCATCTTTGGAGTGAGGCAAGAGACCCGCCTGATCTTTGGGAAGAGGACAAGAGCCAAAATCCCGCACAAGCAGGAAGCCCCTCCGAGCTGGGCAACGGCAGGAGGCTACGGATGGTCCCCCACGGGCGGTCGATCGGTGTTGGTGCAGATTTCATCATTTCCTGCAGTCTCGATCTCTGCCGGTGGGCCGGCACAAGCAGCGGGCTCGCTGCTTCTGGTGCTGCTCCCCAGCAGGAAATACCTGCACCCGGTGCCGGTCTCTGGTGACTCTTCGGCAGCTTCTCGTGACAGCTCCGTTTCCCGTGGCTGAGTATTCTTAGGGACTTCCTCACTCCTCCCCCAGAAAAACTCATCAGAAATCCCTCATGTGCCATTTTCATTTGGAGTCCAGCAACCCTTGCGGAGCGACGGTTTCACAGCTGATGCTTCCCTGATGGTGGCAAAAGCACCATGCAAATATTTTAGCAGCGACTATTTTCAGACCTGAAGGTCTCTCTTCTGGTGGCTGCCGTTTGCCGACACACACGGCACGAAACTCTCTTCACGCTGCGCGGCCGCTCTCCGTTTCCGCAAAGTCGCGGCTCTGCTGTGGCCTTTTTGACCTCGGTTCCGTTTTCCTCGGCCGTTACGCCGGGACGTGCTCCCTGTGTCCTGCCCGCAGTGGAAGCGCCTGCCCGTCACCGGTTTTATCCATCACCCAAGTCCTCAGCGGGGATTCGAGCCGGGCCACCAGGTCACCCCACTGCAGGCAGGTTGAGGTGCCCCCAGCTCCCAGCCCACGTGAGACTTGTCTGTTTGTCCGTCCTGTGTAGCGACCTGGGCCCCAGCCCCAAGATAATGCTCTACCAGCACATTAAATCATTTTGCCGAGGCGGGCAGGAAGGAGCAATATCGGCTGTTCGCGAACTGGTATTTATTTTAACAAAATGTAGACGCGTGGTTGACCACGTTAGCCCCGGCCCAGTAACTCCTGAGCATTTGGGAATACTCGCAGCACTTCACTTGGCTCCATTTAATTTCGCTGCAATCTGAGCTGTTTGGAGATGATGCGAAGAAGATTTTTAAAGATCACCAAAAAGCTAGTTATGTAAGCTACACTTCCTTTCCAAGACCCATACTGAATTTCTACATTATTGTTAGTAACTGTCCAACACATATTACCTATCAATTTATGTTCTCCAATTGGAAAACCTTTTTTTTTTCCCTTTTAATATATGTAAATAATAATGAAAATAAAAAATAGCACTTTTTTCTAATTTTGATAACATTTTCAAACATGGTTGATGATGCCACCTGTTACTGGGATCACCTGACTGTTCTCTTACTGGCATACGTTTCTGTTCTTTTAAACGTTACTGAGCTTCAGATGTTTCTCCTGACGATTTCCATTACGAGTAATTGCAGCAGGGTGGTCTTTTTGTGCATCCCTGTGGAAAAACAATCAGCCTAAATGATTTGGCCCATTTGAGAGTAAAATCAGGGAAAAGAGGATGTTTTCCCGTAGTAAAATAATGAATCATTTTTCCTGGGAAAAGTTGCCCCTCCCGTTCTCTACAGCAGGGCTTCCCACTCGGCCAAAGGCTGGAAGGGCAAGAGGTGCCTGAGTGTGGAAGTGGGTTTCTCCGGGCTGTTGAAGGAGTCCACGTGGGACTGCTGGAATGCTGGGACTGGAAGGATGGACAAAGAACAAGAAAATAAGGCTTGTAGTTAGAGGGAAGGCTGTGAGGAGACCGGCTGGGCAGAGACTAGGGAAATCAAAGGAAGATGTTTCTAGCTGTGCCGGGGCAAAGTGACTGCGGAAGGGTGGGAGCTGGACTCGGGCAGGCGTGGGGTTGCGAAGGTAGTAGATGAGGGGAGAAGGTGGCTCGCAAGAGGAGCTGGGAGAGGTGGTGTTGCTGGGGAGCTGGCAAACTGGGACTGGGGTCAGAGCAAGAGCGGCGGAGCTGACGAGGAGTCGCCTTATGACGGCTGAGAGCGAGAAGACAGAAGGAAATGCGCGCGAAGGCAGGTGGGGTTCAGACCATCACGCTCACGAGACTGAAACCAGAAAGGCGGAGGAAGCGGGCGCTGGGCACATCTGCGCTGGAGATGGGGTGGCATGTCCACATTCCCAGAAGGACGGGACCCGGGGCTTCCTCGCAGCATCTCAGCTCCTTCTGGCCCTGAAACTTGGGCATACGCCACCCCCCTCCCCCCCGCCCTGTTTCTGCAAGAAAGGAAACCTGGGCACACAGACCAAACGGGAGCTGCGCTGTCCCGCAAACAGGTACACGAGCTAAGCCTTGGGGCATGGCCTGATGCGATCCAGCTGCTGCGTGAACACTTGGGGGTGAGGTGCCTAGGCACGACCATGGGACAGAGCAGACTTGGCAAGCTGGGAGGGAAGAAAGAGGTGAAAACTTCAGGGGAACCAGAAGAAAAAAAATAAAGATGCCATCTCTCCCTCGCAGAGGCCTCGTGAGATTCCCAAATCTCAGCATTGTGAATGAACCCTAAGTGACAGCTGATCCTTTTTCTGGAGAAAAGGCCTTGGGGTGGATGAAGAAGTTCCAGGCACAGGATTTTAGACACTGTCACACAACGTGATTCTGTTTTTTTTTTTTTAATCATTGCACCGTCTCATTCATCACAGCAGATGAGCCAGCTCTTGGGAGGAATCAGTAGTGTGTAGAAAAGACTGCTCTTCACATATTATTTAGGTTGATGGCAATGCCTGATTGCGGAGAGGTGGGCTTAATTGTTCAACTAGTCAAGCGGCGTTCTAGGTCAAGGGCTTCTCTATTGCTATGAAATTCCTGTGTGATGGTAGGCAAGTTGTAAGAATGAGCATTTCCAGACATGCTCACCCTTTCCAAGTGGCTACCTTGATGCCTAGGGTTCTTGTTTCAAGAATGATGATCACCCAAAACCTGTTTGCAGTTATGCTTCAGATGCATGTAAGCAAATGGTGAAATACAAAATAAGCGAGCGCAGGACATTAAATTGCAGACTCAAATGTATGGCTGCTTCACAGTGCTGCCTCTCCACACTTCCAAGTCCCCAGAGGCATAGGCAGATTAACACCTTCTTACAGGCCTGCAACATTGGGCAACTGAATAATCATTTGTGTTTCGCAAAGATGATGTTAAAATGAGAACCAGAGAGAAATGGGGACATTCATCCCTCATCAGGATGGGCTTTGGACTTTGAGCAAATACATCAACACAGTGAACACACAGAAAATGTGATTAAAAAAAAAAAAAGAATAGCTGCTTTGTGGGGGTTCCAATGAAAAATACTATGCGATCATGTAATTAAAGCAACCTTAATTGAGGCATTTCCTAATTTCAGGGTACTTAACTATGCCTCTTTAATATTCCTTTCATATAGTGTTTTGTTGTATACATCACACACAGAGTTACACCTCCACTGTCTCTCACACCCAGTTCTTAGTATTTGGGAAAGACACAGATTCATATGAATTGATACAGATTTCTGGAGCACAAAGAACAGATATGCTGCACTTGGTTTGTATCCAATTGCTAAAATACAGGTGAAACAGACACACCGGTTTTGAAAATTTTTAAGAAGCAGCTATTCTTCTCCTGAAGATTCAGTTGCAGGAAAATGGCACAGGATTTTGGCAAGACTCACTCATTTATTACACTAACACAAGATCTAACACATTGAGTCTTGTCTCCAGGTACGCCCGTACTGCAAAAAAATGACATAATACAGGTTCCTTGCAGAATTTAATCTCTCATTTTCTTTAGTGTCCAGACTTGTTCTGTTTACTCTTGTAGTGTCATAAATTCTGGACTTAGTCGTATGCCATTTTTCCTTTTTTTCCCCCCCTTCCTGAAAAGTGCTCGTAAGTAAGTTAAACATGCATGAAATTAAAGATACACTTTTAATATCGTCTTTAAAGAAAACCCTTCAAATGCCTCCTCCCAAAAAACCACCACAACATTGCTTAGGATTATCTATTTATTTATTTCAGTTAAAACATACAATGTTTCATTGAAACTGTGTTGCACTCCCTGCCAACAACTGGAGCTAGAGTGTTGGCCTCTAACCATACAGTGGATATTTACATATGTACACAGATGTACCGTAGGATGCCTGAATTTGGTGGCCTAACAAATACGTTAGACTGTCAAAGTTGTTAAGTTGCTGCATTCAGGAAATTGTAACATCCATGGTAAATTTGAGGAAAAGTATACATGAACCTGAACGATGCTTTTTATGGACCCAAGTGACTCCTGTGTTTACTGCAACATATACATTTGTAATAAATACAATCTTAGTGTCTTCTTACACATCTTAGGTGTGACACATTTCTTCCATTCTTGTAAGCATTATCTTTTGTTGTAAAAGAATCTTTCCTTTGACAGTTGTTAATACAGATGTACAACATGGACAACTCCTTGAAATGATGTAACAATCAGTAATGAGAGGAATATATACATAAGTCCCGGTTTCCAAACCTACATTATATACATTATACTTACAGTATATACACACATACAATTTATGTACATAGACTATCATAAATATTGAAAAATAGGTTTAGTTTTAATGGATTAATGTTTTATAAATAACATGTTACATTTATGACTGAAATATCATGGAAGACAGTAATGTCTAACTGAGGTGACAAAACAGTGGTTTAATACTGAAGCTGCTCTTTTGGGTGGTTTGTCATGAGGGTAACTTTAAGCAGACAGGTTTTTTAAAAAAAAAAAAACAACAACCCATAATTAAATAAATCGTATGTTGGAAATCAACCCAGCCAAGTGGAACTCAACTGTTGCAGGTGGAGAGCCAGTCACCAAATAATGTAACACATAATGTAAAATCTTGAAACTGCTACATTCAGAGAATTAAGTGACATGTATGATACATTATGAGGTGTCATCACAAAAACCTTCCTCCTCTCTGGCTGCTGAGAAGGACTGTGTAGTCACTTCTCATTTACACCTCCTTCCACTATGGTTACTGAGAGAAAGGAGGCTATTTCTCACTTTCTTCCTTTCTTTTTAAATGCTGGCAAGGGAAGCGCTTCATCCCTTATGTGCTACAAATGGCTCAAAGGCAGACAACATTTTAATCCTCTTCCACCTTTCTACGTTTGCTGAGAGGAAGAAGAAAAGCTGCCAAAGTACTGAGGAGGCACACGCTCAGCACTTCTGTGGAGATCAGGTAACATGGGGTAGTTAGCCATGGATGTACAGTACCTGAGGCAGAGAAGTACCTAAGGAGCGTTCGTCAGTGCTGACTCCAGGATCGGTAATTGCCAGTTGAGTACCACCGAACTAATAATACGAACAACAAAAGAGGAATCTAACTTCTCATTACAGTTTTACACTACAGACTTAGTGACCAGTACTTACAGTCATGCAGAAGTATTGATACAAAATACCTGCAATTTTTTTCATAGATTTTAAATGGCTGGGCAGAGACTGACATTATCTGCCAAACAGTGACTATCCTTTAGATTTGTTCCTGATTAATTCTACAAGAGCAAAAAAGTCTCAGGCACTGTTTAATCAATGGATTACAGGCCCTTACTTGTTCCCTCTGACACAAAGCCTGAGCGGAACTTTGTAAATCAGATTTTAAAAGCGCCATGTCAGATGAAGACAATTGACCACATTGCCATGATTATTTCATTAATAATCTCTGTCTAGGCTTTTGTACCCAATAATTGGGGTGTTTGAGAACCTCTTATAAGCCAAGTACGCTGTTATACAAGTGTTATTTCTCTTCAACCTGGGATAAGAATGAAAGAGTAAACATGCACTAGAAACAAAACAGCTAATCACAACCATACAGCACCTGTTTCATAGCTAGCTAGCTAGGGCTCGTAAGAAACTTACCTATTTCTGAAGCAAACAAGTATGAGATGACTATCCAGCCTATGAGGTTATCTTTAATACTACTATACAGTATAAATTGGAAGAGGAATCCCAGTTGCGTATGCGAAGAGAGTTTGTACCAAGCATGAAATACTGGTGCAGTTATTTTGTGGATTTGACTCAGAAACAGAATAGTCAAGTAATTCAAAATCCAATAACGGATGAGTAATTTGAGAAATACTGTACAGTTTTTGAATATTATACAACTAGTAAACTACATTAGGACCTTTTTGTTTTCCTACAGCCTGTTTCAAGATAGATTGGACAGAAAAAAAACCCCAACAAACATTGCTACAACTGACAATGGACCTTATTAATAAAGAGAACTCCAGGAGGGAGTTTTATATTAATGGCCTCATATGCTCCCGTGCCATTCAGTTTATATCTACAACAGGAAAAAACACAAAAAGCAAAAACCCCCAAACCCTGTTTTACTCAATTGCACTATTGAGTACCTCAAGAAGGGAAATGTCAACGCCATCTTTACGATTTCTATATTAACTACATTTTTCTCAAACGTACCCGTTCTAAAGGGTGTGTTTTTTTTTAAAGCTTGAAATTTTGGGTTTCCACACCATTTTTGGGAACTAAGGTAACTGTAGTTACTTAAATAAGCTGACAACTGATTTTCAGGATTATTTTCATTCTACTTTGAACTAAGTGAATTTCATGGGAAGCATTTGTAATTAGAGAATTTTGACTTGAATTGGTTCATTTTCTGTTTTGGTCATTAGAAGTATTTTTTAAAATAAAATTTCTTCTAATTATGCCTCTACTGAAAGGCAAACTAGATTTAATTTAGGACACCGATTAAATATTTTTTTGAGCTCTTCTACATTATTCTTTCATTCTTTTTTAGAAAAACGTTTCTTAAAGTCAAAATAGTGCTTTTGAGGTCCATAAGAATTTTTGGTACAAAAAATAATAGTGTTTCTCTCTCTCTCTCTCTCTCTCTCATTGGTTATTTAAACACTTTGCTGTAAATTAAAGAGTTATTTCACACACCAAATGGTTCCATTAGGCACATTCAAGTAAAATAACAAAATATCCAAGTAACAATGATGAAAGCCAAACATGGCTTGATAAAAGTCTACAGAGAGTTCTGTCCATTCTCTGGAATGGAATAAAGTTGTCACTTCCTTCAGCCAGACACTCAGGTGGTTTGATGTTAATATCCACTTCCATCATGCAGAATAGTTTCTTAAAGACAGAGTTCAGGTATTCTACAATCAGAAGAACCATCAGCAAAGAATCTGCATTTTAAAGGAAGCTGAATAGCTCATTTTCGTTCTCAGTAGGTATCTGAGTGAACACTGGCATTTGAAGTGGAGTATTAGAGATTAAACCAGGACAGTTAATGGCCATCAGATGCAACATTCTGGGTCCAGTCCAGAATAATCAGCGTCATACACCCAGTCATCACAAGTATACCGCTTAGAAAGAAGAACGCAGCCTGAAAAAAGAAAACATATATTTCAGACTGCTATTACAGCCATAGTCATGCCCACTTATGGCACAAATGCCGTTGCTCATGGAGGACAAAGGAAAAGAGACAAGAGATCACAGTAAACAGTAAGGAGCTAGGCATCTCTCTCATACCTGGGGTCTCTTTTCAAATAAAAAAAGTACATTTATTTTCAGTATAGCAGACCTCACCCTCACCTGAGGGAAGTTAATGTAGCTGCTGATACCAGTAAGGCTCTGCCACTGTACTGACTTGATTCTGACTCAGTATGTCTCAGATTTGATTCAGGGTCAGTACATCTAACATCAGTAAGAGCACCAACATCAGTCGGGATGTCCCAAATGATCGGTGGAGGTCAGCTTTTACGGGCTAAATTATGTAAGTAGGTCTTGAAAGAAAATTTAAAGGAGAACGACAAGACGTTTTTAGTATAGCTCTAAAGGGTAATCTGTTGAAATCTAGTTCTTATCAGCAACAGAATGACCCAACTATTGTTGAGATTGGGGGTTGGGGGGGTGAGAGAAGTCACCGAAGTGAACTGAGCCTTGTGATGGTTATCTCCTCAGTTTTGAGTACCTATGCAACTCCCACAACATTAAATGCCAGTTCAATGACTACCTTCCCCGGGTGTTTGGAATTCCTAAATCGTGAAGAAGGAAACTAAAGTTCCTGCTCTGAATTAGTAAGCAAGCGTAACTATTACATATCTGTCTATACATACCCCAATCTTTTGCACTGACTTCATTGGCTCCTTCTTGACTAATTTGATATAGAAGGCAGAAGGAAGTATAAAGATCAGCATGGCAGCCGCAGATGCACCTGTATTGAAAAAGCATAGAAATAAATATTCATAAACAGGTAAACATAATTTAATCAGATCAGAACTGCATTTTCTGAGATTTGAAAGACTACTTGAACTGATGTGAAAATGCTTACCAATGAAGCCAAAGATGTCTCGAATAGTAGGGACAAAGATAACAAGCACATTGGTAAATGCCAGAAGAGCAACTGTAATGGAACAGTGACGCCACCATCTAAACTCCTTCCCTGCCCACAACAGCTGGGTAATGGAACTGCGGATCTTTTGAAGAGTGGGAAAAAAAAACACAAAACAAAACCAAAAAGACAGTTTAGCCTTCATTATGGAAGTCAGTGACTGTCACGTGAATCAGACCTTCCTTCTGAAAGTATTTTAACTTAATTTTCCTGAACAGTTCAGATTTTAATAGAAGTTGAAGACAGGCATGAAAGTAGTTTGGTTTTTTTTTTTAATATTTACTTCCTACACTTGAGAGGCAGCTCTGTGTTTCTGGTTTGTTTCTCTTTTCAGTGATTTAGATTCTCAAAGCACAGCCAGTAGTGGAGAAAAAAGAAGGAAAAACATCTGTACTGAGGAAAAATAAATCCCAGGGGTTTCTGTAACATCTAAGGATGTTGCTGAACAACATACACCTAAATGGCCAGAATTCATTTTCACAATGTACTTACAAAAACACACTGAGTTTTGTAAGCTTATAATACAATAGTGCAAGTACTTTTATAAAGGGGCAATCTGTTCCACCTCCCCAGTCAGACCATACCAGCAAAACAATATAAATGAACGTATTTGTATCTACTGCTTTATAAATGTTGCCTATTTATTTAATTTATTTTAATTCACAGTATAGAGATATTTCATCAAGCTTATTAGAACAAATATCCTTTTTTGGTTAAGAGAAAAATTATATAAACTAATAAAGGGGAGTTGCCAAATCAGTAAATGACTGCAGCAGGACAGGTGATGAAAATAAAAAATGGTAATAAGGTTAAAAAAATTAATTACTTACTGGGAAAATAACTACAGGTACAGTAAGGGTTACAGCCATAAGTACAGCGAGACGCACAATAAGAAGAAGAACATCAGCACCCAGATAAGCAGAGTAGGTATGAAGCAGTTCTGGTTCGACCCTTCCTATAAAGAAAACAGTATTTTAATTAGATGTAGTTGATGTACTTCTCAAACAACCACTTCTGCTCTAAATCCTTAACGAATTTTACTGTTATAGCAATATGAATTGAAAGCCTCAACAGCTCCTGTAAGCACATCTACACAGGGGTAACTTGAAGGCACTGAATCTGTTTTAATCCAGCTTTAATCCTGTGCCTTGGGCCTAATTCTACTACTTATCTCCTTTTGGGTGTGCACTTATAAAAGCATTAACAAAACCCCCAGCAAACAGTGTATATTTAGAACCCATAGTAAATGCTTGCTTATTCTATCTTAAAAGTAATAGTGTGAATTTTGCAGAACAATTCATTTAAAAGAAAGCAGAGAAGGCAATATTCACCATAAAATGTCAGGTATCCAAAGAGAGCAGCCAATAAATACATGAGGAACATGGCAAAAAAAGATACATAGGACACATTCATCATTCTTTTACGGCTTCGGCTGTAAGAAAGAGAAAAAGAAACATTTTTAGCAATGAGAACCTACTGTTTTATACTACTTCTGTTTCTTTAGTGAAATTACAGATGCACATCTAACATTTACCTCTTCAGTTCTTCATAGATAGGAAGAATTGCAGGATGGCAGACAAAAGAAAATGTTAAGATTGGGACAGCATAGACGGTCTGAAAAACAAAAGTATCTTTCTTAAGTATCTCAACAGACATTAGAAATTTAGTTTTAAAAAACTCATCAGTAGATTTTTGAGTTTTGACTTAGCTATCAGTTTAGTTTTTCATAAAGACTAGCTATTCTTTACAACTGAAACTTTGGCAAAAATTAAAACGAGTTCGTATTTTCTTAAACCCAGTCCCTGAGGTACCAGATACTGTCAAATCCCACTGAAGTCCTTGCTGAGCTGAATGTATTTCCATTCAGAATTATGTTCTGCATCTCATAGGCTTAAAGCCATTATAGCCTGATCTTGGTATTGGCTGTTACGTACTTCTTCCCCACGAGCGGGCATTCACCACTGTAATTGGGAGCGTTCATGAGAGTGAAGACTTTGTGATGGGGAACTTAATGTCTATGCCAAACTCTAGCATACATTTCCCATTCGCATGCTTTTACTATTTCCTTCATCTTCTTCTGCAATCTACTTTTTAAAATGTTTTACTAACTTACTTGAGAAAGCTTGAGAAATGCTGCGCTGAAGAATGAGAGATGCATTTATTGCCACTCATCTCAGGCAGGTACCTCAAGCTCCTCTAATTTCTGTGTATTTGGAGTGTGGAAACATGCAGTCTACAGGAGGTAAACAGTACCTAACTCTCCTGGAACAGAAAGTCTTAGCACATCCCAAGTTTACAACTGGGCAATTACTTGAAGGAAAAATGACCTAATTTATCTGCTATGTACTTAGTCTCTCCTAATTATTTTCAACAGCAAGTCTGATTTTCAGTCAGTTACCTGTGAATTGAAGATGAAATATTTTGGCTTGCACACATCATCACTTGTTATGTTTTCTTTTACCAAAGATGCCAGTGTCACATTTATTAATGTTGCGTTCATGATGTCACTGTCCATAGGACAAGGAATCTGAAACATCTTCCAAATTACCTAGAAATAAAGCCGTGTATTTATTGTTACTTTGACTAGTGCAATATGCGAAACTTTTCAGAAACTGTGTTTAATTTCACTTTGAAATGCAGTTTTACAAGCACTGGAAATCTACAAGATTATACTTACAACAATCAGAAAGAAGACCATGCAAAGTAAGGAAAAGCCACTGGTATAGCCCAAATATCCTGTGTTCAAGAAAGACAAAAAAATCTAAGGTACAGTAAACAGAAACACCATTCAAGTCATAACATTATGACAAAATACATTCTGTCAGTGATCTCTTTAGATTGCCTTTTTCTTAGTGTTACATAGAACGAGTTAATTATTCATTGACTTTCCGCTAATCTCAACCCAGATCTGAAAGTTCTCAAACACATATTAGGGTCTGTACAGTGAGTATGTAACATTAAATTTTATAACTTACAAAAAAAACCCAACCCACAACAAAAAACACCCATCAACAACTATGTGAATTGCTTATTATATACTAAGAACGACTCTAGGATTAATTCTGATAGAATGCACTATGAGATAACAGCCTTTTCCTTCTGTTTTTATTGATTCACTTAATTTGTAGAAAGTAGTAACTTGAGAAAGTAATTCACATTGAGACTCTCAGTTAGTAAGGTTCCGCTACAGGATTCTCTGAACAAATAGTGTGCAAACTGAATTGTTGACATATATCACTGAATTATAGCCATTTCAGATAAAGCATCTGGTATGAATATTCTGCTACTGCTTGGGATCTAAAATGAAAAAGGTGAATTCTATTTACATTGCAAAGACAATTTAACTGTCCAGGTCTAGCATCCCTATTCTTTTGACACTGTTATACAATATTATACTACTTCACTACTGACCAAAGTAGGTCAAACTTTGTGATAAGAACACAAACAGAAAGTTACCATTGAGCCTTGTTCTAAAGCTACCCTATCTATTGTCCTTTCGTTTCCCACAAACACATCTGTAACTTAAGATGCTTGGATGTCTGGATCTTTTTCTTGTCCTTTTTTAATTTTTTTTATTTTTATTTTTTAAGTAGACTGACAGCAATTACCTAAACACTGATTAGTCCCAAGAGACAAGTTTGGAGACAGTTGTTAATTCACATAGTACTTCAAGACTCAAACATTGTATCAACCTATTTCCCCACAATATTTTCAATGCATTTTTATTTTGATTGTACTCCATTGCTTACCTAAATTTTTCAGTAAGGACAGGGGAAGAATGAGGATGACAGACACCAGCAGCACTAAATAGTCGCCGTTAAGATACCATTCTCTGAAGAAAAAAGTTAATATTTGTAAGTAATCAAAGTATTTAAAAATTATGACATTTGCAGTTTAGCCTTCACTCTTATCTTCTCCTACAACATATGGCTTCTTCAAAAAGTGTAGTACCTGATGTCACAAAGGATTAGCAACTCACTATAAGGACCTAAAGCCCTACAACACCTTCTTATCTCACCCCAAACCTGCATTGTGCCTTTCCTTTAGTGTCCTTTTCTAAAATTAATATGCATCTGGAAGTCAGAAGACAGGAAAGTAAACGACTGGTCGGAAAAGAGGTCAACTGGGATTAATCATGGAAAAAATAGTAATTTGCTTAAATGTTGGTTCCCAACTCTCCAGATGTATTAGAATATTGCAGGGCCCCAGCAGGGTGGTGATCCACTTTTAATGGAAATAAAATTCTGTTGGGTGCCCTGCAGGAGTTAAAGAAAAACAGGTGAGGGCTGGAGTTAAGGCAGTAGCTCAAGCCCACTGGCTGAGAAAACTCCAACAAGCACTGGGAGTCTCTTGGAGGCACGTTTAGTCCCTTTCAGTAGGGAATCTATGACAAGAACCTTAGAATTTTTTTTCCTTCAGATCATTTTTTCCATTTCTTCCATAAGAAGCAGCAGCTATTTTTTGACAAAACATTTGGAGTGTTAGAAGATTAACATCTTCCTTTGAAACACAGAAAAATGAAGTTAGCTCTGTGTAAATAGAACATAATTTCACTGAACTAATAGAAAAACTGACCTTGAGTATTTAATCGTGGCAGGGTAACTGCTTTCTTCATCTGTCCTACAGGATCATCCTATATGCTTTAAGCAATTAAAGTAACACTGAGCATTTATTCACAAATATTAATACTTCATATCCCATTATGGTATCATCTAACAGTATTTATTTTAAAATGGACTGTATACTATTTAGGTAAACAAAGAAAAACTAATGACCTAATTGGAAATTTGTGCATTCACACTCAATTGCTGAATTGCAAGCCTAAATATGGTAGTGGAAATATGAAATAACTTTAACAGACTTGCTCCGGATTTATGTAGTAAATGCAAAAATAATTTGGTCATCTCTTTCCCCAGTTTTATCTGGGATAACTAAATGTAAAAAAATGTATTTTAGAAAGTTCAGATGTGTACGACATTAACGTCATGTACCTTTTGTTGTCTTTTTTTTTTTTTGAATGTAGTAGTCTTGTGGTATATTTAAAAGAAATCACAGCACAGGGATTCTTTGCATTTGATACAGTCATAAGAATGCGCACCATTATTGTGCATGCCCCATGTGGAGGCCATCAGGACTTTCAGACCAAGGACTTAAAAGTTTTTCTGTGCTGAAGAGTAAAGAAAGGGATTGCACAGCTTTAAAATACAGCCGAGTATTTTAAAAATTGCTAAATGAATTTTAATAATGGAGCTAGCATTTGTAATATTGTCTCAGAATTCCAGAATATCTCCTACAGTAAGCATTATTTTGGGACATTTAAACAGGTAAGTGCTTACATTTTAGACACCAGGCTGCCAGAGTGGAATCCATGCCAATGGTAGCCACCCAGACTCCCCTAAGCAACGCATGGAGAGACTCAGTTAAATGGGGTCCACAATTGCCGGAGCACCGAGAAAAGATTTACTTTAAATCAGTGTACAGCTACCTAGTACCAGCCAGCAAGAAAACATTTAAGATACAAATCTCAATTTCTTAATTTTGTCTGCTAGATTTGCAGAGCAGCAGCTGAATCCAGTGAGATTCACAGCCTTTAACTTTCCCTCTTGAACTGCAGCCAATTTTGAATTCTTTTCTGAAGACGGGACAGTTAAAAATACTTGCCTCCAAGCCCCCTCATAAGTCCCTGGAGCAGCCAGTACTTTCTTAAGAAGTAGAAAATAGGGACTTGAATTCAGCCAAAGGAGGGAAATGAACCTTCCCAGCAAAGAATTTGTAAACATTACACTAGTAAGTAAATGGGGTGGGTACATTCTTCCAGAAAATAAAAAAAAAAAAAAAAGAGAGAAAGAAAAAAAAAAAAAAGATGGCTAGCACTGTTGTCATGACAATATCTATCAGCAAGCTGTATGAACACCACCACATGGCTTGAACCCCTTGGGGAACACAGGCAGAAAAATGCCTACCTTCTGAACTCAGGCTTAGGTGCAAGTTGGAGTCTTGAGCTGCTCAGCCCTCTCAAGACTGGGACACTTCAGGACAAGGCACAGAAGTACAACTCTGAAGAGTGAGATTTATAGCACTTAACTCTATCCATCTGAAGTCAGGCATCTTGTTTTAGATAGTTGTTTTTACACACCCTCTCAATATAGAGTGATATGATAAATTGTTCTTTGGAGATGCCCAAAACAGGTGTCTAAGCCAGGTGCACTGAACTGACCACTACAGGGGACCACCTTCCTCCACTGATTTATACAAAGACCAGAGTAATGATAAGCTCAAAATCTAACTTTCAGACGGTATGGTTAGATAAAATGAACCCTACCCAAGGCACCCACTTTTAAAGCCGAGCAGGAAATCCACTATGGAGTCAAGATGTCTCCAGGGCTAAATGGCAATGTGGCCACCATTTTAGTCTTGGGCATATAAACTGTCTTATCTCAATGTTTAGTCCCCGTGTCTTTTTGAGAACCGTTCCTTAAGACATTCATTACATAACTGCACCTTAGTCTTATATTTAATCACTTCCCACAATATTAACACTAGAAAACCAAAATATTCAGTCCAAACCAGTTGGAATGCAGTAAGAAAAAAACAAAAAACAAAACCAAACCAACCATAACCACATTTACCTTTCCTTATCGAGAGTATGTACTGACTGGTACATACATTAACACTTACCTGATGTTCTTTAGAGAACTGCTTTCTGTAATATGATGCGATACCTGTATTTTTCTACCCTTTTTCCAGGACAGGCTGGATCTAAATGAAGTGGAGCACTCAGGGGAAGGGCAAACTTACTGTATCTCTGTCTGAGTAAGAAGCTACCCTATGGTGTACCGAACGTGGTCTTCATATAAAAATATATACAGTCTCCGTATTTGTTTCTCCTAATAGTTTCTCTGATGAGGAGTTCTAACACCTACCCTGTGGTCTCTTCGATGTTCATAAATGTCTTGATGACCAATGGTAACTCATATTTCACTATGAAGAGGTAGCTTGACATAGCTGTAGGTGAATAACATCATAGATCATTACAAATATAGAATATGCCACAAGATGCAAGAATCACATAACATGTTTCATAACTTCACTTGAACACAAGCAGTTAATGAACACATGTTGTGTGAAAAAAAAAAAAGTCTCCAAGAATAAGTAGGGAACAATTACTATTGACAGCGCAGACATTTTAAGATCTTGTCCTCACCTCCAATGTTCTGCATTGTAATTGATCCAGACGCAGCAAGTTTTCCAGCCATACCGAATGCCTTCATTCCTAACTGTTCATACAATAAAGATCCTAAAAAACCCCAAAAGAATCCATTGGAAGGGTGTGTTTCACAAAGATACCATATGAAACAAATACCATATATTTGTAAAATAGTAATTTGCCATACCTCCTTCATTGGCAGTCTTCAAAAGCAGATGCACTGAATACAAAGAAAATATTGAGACAAACAGCAGGAGTATCCTGGGGGGGGAAAAAATTTCAAATTTTTAATAGCCATAAATGACTTATTGTAACCTTATTAAACAAAGGCGGATCAAACAAAAATTAATCATATTAAACTATTATCTGGGAAAAACCTGTAGATTCTAAGGCCAGCTAAAAGCATTCTGAAAACCCAATTAATGCCTAGTTTAGAAAGGATTTTATACTAAAATGCATTTCAGAGGCACAGAGAGAAATTCTAGTGTAGGATTAAACAACACTTCTATTCACTGGAAAGTGGCGTAAGCACCGACAAGCATCAGTCCATTATAACTGGCTACATTTGATATGAATAGCTTAACAAAGTATCAATAGGAATGGTTTTGTATCCTTGCAAGAAACTGTATTTCTCCTGTCTTCCTATCCTTGTTCAACAGTGTGTCATGCATCTACTGAACATCCAGTTGTGACTAACTGTAGCTAAAGTGAAGATTATCTCTTGGTCTTAAACAAATCAGCTTTTCAGCTTAAACGTGTGTCATGTCTTTTTTTATGTGAAGATGAAACCGCAAAAGCCTTAAAAAATTGACTGAAAATTCAGACGTATTGAGAGCTGTGTCTTCAAATGGAAATATGTATTTATTGTCATTAAAAAAAAAAAGAAGATAACTTTCTTTGTTCAAAAGTTACTCTTCATGTGTGCTTACATGGGAATTACTACTGGCTTGTTTATCTTCCCCACAGGTTTTACATGCAATATATATGTTATTTCCAGAAGCACATTTGCAACATCTAAAATTCAGATCTCTCAACTGCAATTCTCTCCCACAGCAAATGCACTTCCTGGAGTGGCACGCTAGGGGGGACTTCCCAGACTGCTGAAGAACACAGTGGAAAATTACAGTACATAAAAAAAAAATAAAAAATCCCTGTCCTTTCTTATACCTATACAAGCATTCTGCTTTACAGGAAAGCTAAGAATCAGCACATCTGCTCAAAAACGGCAAGCTCCATTTAGAGTTCCCAGAGCACTCTTTACAATTCCTTTTGTGCCATTTTTAACATTGGCAAAATTGGTAAACACAGCACAAAGAACTGGAAACAAGAACATCTGAGAAAAGCTTCGCAGATCCGTACAGGGAATGCAGGAAACTTGTGTTACGGTGCCAATTCGACACCAACACATGCACACAAATAGACCTCTGTATTTCTGACAGGTAGAGAGGGATTAACCAGGATTTAATTTAGCCATCAACTTAGAAACAGCACAGCGAGATGTGCAAGGGTTACATTTCATTAAAACAGCACAGATCCTGGACCCCTCAGTCCTAACCTTGAATGGCTGCTTACAGTGTTGACAAGATCAGTCAGCAAACTCATCTCGAAGCTCCGTTTCTGGCTTCCAGACCGTATCATTCATTTATTTAGTGCTGACACAAGTGACAAGTCACAGCGCTGACACAAGTGACTCCACACAGTCTTCGAAGAATTTAGTGCCTTAATCCACTGCATCTGGAACCTAGTTATTAAAGCATGTCTGTAATGCCCTCAGTGTCATCATAAATCCTCAGTATCATCAGCGATTGACTGCTTTCCTGCCTTGGAACTATATAAACTACACTAAGTTTCGAAAGGTAGCAAGCTAGTTTATCTTTGGATCAGTATGAAGGCAAATAGATCTGAATGCAGTATCTGGAAATGAAAGGTGACTAAATGGTCTCAGCACCCAATTGTTAAATTGACAGTTTTGAACATTTTTTTTTTTTTTTCAGAAAAAAAGGACTCCCATTATATGCAAATCTCTTCAAGTATCTAACCTTAAATTCTTTTTTTCCCTCTCCTCAGAGATGTTCTAATGTGCATGACGCTGATTATCTTATGTGTGCTGCAGAACATCTTTAGAGCATGAGTGGTATGTAGAGAGAGATGAAGTATCTCTCTCTTCCGAATTCATGCTGCTAAGTTGTTCATTCAGTTTAGCATCATCTAAGTAAGTGAACGTCTTAACAAAATCACCATATATTTAAAATAAAATGCTTTAGATCAAAACTTTACACACTGGTAGTTTCCTCAGGAAACGGACAGCACCTTGATATACTGTCAAGTGTCTGGAAGTAAATCTGACCTACAACCTTCTGGCAGTCTGGCAACAGAGCAAGGCAAATTTCAAACTAAACGTTACTCTCCACTTGCTCTTGAATATTCAGCACGTTTATCCATTTCCAGGATAAAAATGCAAAGTTCCTTTAAACACATCCGTGGCTTCCCATTGGCACTCAGTCACTGATACTACATGTTGTGTGAGCTGAACTGCCTCCAATATATGAAAAATGTACTTTCCCAAGACACTTAGGAGCACCGTACACAATTGTTTCCTCATGCCACTTCCAATTACATTACTGGAGTCTTGTCTTATACCTGAAAGATTTTGCCAATATGGACATACCGATGAAGATATGCCAGTTATTCCACATCCCTCCCTTGCAGGGAGACACCGATTTTTATAGGTGTAGCTGAAACTGGCTCCCTGAATTGAGTAAAAGCATAGCAATAAAAATGATTTCTTTCTTGGTGTAAGTACATCGCACCTCTATAGGCACAACTATGTCAGCTGAGGAAAAGGAGACCGCGTCCCTGATCGTTAGGACTGGGCCACAGAAATTTTTAAGAGTAGACATGACCAGACTTGCAAGAGACAAATAAACCAATCCCCTTCTGCCTATGTTTTTCCTCTAACTCTCTAGAGCCTGATCCCGTAACTTTTTGTGTAATTAGGACTTCCACTAATTGAAAAGTTTCTCTTGTCACTCTGAAGGAAAAAGCTAATACAGACTTCAGTCTGTTCAGTAGCACCTCTCTCTTCCCCTTGGAAAATGGGAAGTCTATCAGTTATTCATGGAGAAACTGCAGCTAAGTAGAGGAAAATTCACCGTAAAATGTTTTGTGGGTTGCAGCACTTGCAATGAATCTGTTTAATGTTTGCAAGTCCTTCTGACTGTATCGCAACCTCTTAATTCAAAACAAGCCATGAATCCCAAAATGCAATTCTGCACCTACGGCAATGACTACGTATTTTGTAAAGGTCATATTCTGACATCAAGTATTTTTCCATTATTAATTACAGAGCAGAAAGGTTGTTTTTCGATGAACCAAAAGATACTTACACAAAAAGAGCAATTCCAGTGTTAGCCATGGCATAAGAAAGACCAAGGATGCCACTACCCACAATAGCATTGCTCAGATTAAATACTGACATTCCAAAGGAAGTAGTACCCGGATGCTGAGAAAAGGGAGATAGGTAATAATTAATAGAAAGTTATTACTTATTTCAGAATTAAAGCAAACATAAATTTGGCATTTTTTTTTTGGTTTTTGAAAGGTCATTGCTATGTACTTACATACTGAGTCTCATATTTCTTCTTTCCAAGATTGGAGTCGAGCAAGAAATTTTGGTTTTCTGGATCGATATCCGCATAGTGGCTGGAAAAAAAAATATCGCATCATCAGTAACTATCGCGGGCGGCTCGCCTATTCGCCTCCCAACCCGCTTCGACGGGAAGCAAACGAGAAAAACCACCCGAGTGCCCCCCAAAAGAAGAACGCCGCGCCCCCGCCATCCTCCCCAGCGCACGAAGCTGACGCCCGCAGTCACCTCCGCGCTTCTCTTTGACGCCTGTCAACACCGCTCCCGACGCGGCGGCAGCCGCGTTTTCGACACCCCCCTCCCCAACTCTCTCCGCCTCACCTCTTCATGGCAGCCGGCTTGGTGGGGTAGGGGTAGCTGAAGTCGTTGCTGTTGGAGCTGTAGCTGCTGCTGTCCTCGTCGGGGGAGATGTTGAACTTGCCCATCTCGGCGCTGCTCATGGTGTCGACGAGGAGGAGGAGGAGGAGGAGGAAGCCGGGGGCTCGGCGGACCCGCTCTTTTGTCCTTGGCGGCGGGGCTGGCCGCGCCTGCGGAGGTGGGAGGCGACGTCAGTTGCCGCAGCGGGCGCCGCGGCCCGTCACGTG